CAGTAGAGGTATCTGATAATGTTTACCAGCTGTGTCTGAAACATGTACTCCTGACTAGCATAATTTGAATATTAGCTAACCATCCTTAAAAGATTAAAGGACAGGCACATACATCACATATTTGTACTGAAATTTTAAAAGGTTAATTACTACTGTTTGGTATTTACCCAAAGTAGTTGAAAACTTATGTCCACATAAAATCCGGCACATGTGTGTTTATTGCAACTTTATTCATAATTTCAAAAATTTGGAAGGAACTGAGATGTTCTTCAGTACATGAATGGATTAACTGTGGTGCATCCATACAGTGGCATATCATTCAGTGCTAAAAGGTAATAAGCCATCAAACTATGAAAAAGACATGGAGAAAATTAAAATGAATATTTAATTTAAAGACATGAAAGAAGCCAATCTGAAAAGGCCACATACTACAGTGATTTCAACTTTATGACATTCTGGAAAAGGCAAACCGTGGAGACAGTAAAAAGATCAACAGCTTCCAAGGTTAGGGGAGAGGAAGGGATAAAAAGGCAGAGCACAGAGGAGTTTCAGGGCAGCGAAACTACTCTGTATGATACTAAAATGGTGAATACATGTAATTATACATTTATCCAAATCCATAGACTATACAACACCAAAATGAACTCTGAGATAAACTATGAACTTTGGGTGATAACGATGTGTCAATGTAGGTTCATCAATTATAACAAATGTGGCTCTCTGGTGGGGGATGTTGGTAATGAGAGAAGCTGGGCATGTGTGAGGAAAACAGGTACATGAGAAATCTCTCTAGTTTCTGCTCCATCTTGCTGTAAATTTAAAAATAATTGAAAAATAATACTATCTTTTCAAAAAGTTAATTACTACCTAGACAATACAGCAAAAGGTGTTTGCTATATATCATAAAGTTATCGTAAATTATCCCCTTACTTCCCATCTATGAACATTTTTACAACAGAATAATGATGAAATGGTATGGCACTAATAAAACATCGGGCTTCAGGACAATCCTTTGCAACTCCTTTGAACCACATTCCATCCTAAACCTCCTAATGAAGGAATTCCTGAGCCACGAGAGGGGTTGGGTTAATATGTGTCAAACGTCCCTGCTCATGAGTGCATATTTTATGACATCTTGTATTTATGTAGTTTTTCATTAGGCTGACATGGAAAGCTGATTCAAAGCCTGGTAGGCATTCTCTCCCTCCTTTATTTTTCTCTTTCTCTTGCATTCCTTTCTCTTTTCTTCTCAGCCATGATGTTCAGGCACTCTCATCTTGCTGGCTGAAAGGTAGCAAGATGTCAATCTGTGAATTTGGAAGGAGAAAAGGATGCTTTTGGGCTTGTGGAGTAGGCCATGTGCTATAGGTGAGTTTTCTTGGAGGTACTTCACTGGGGTGGGGACGGGGAGGGCACAGACACAAAGTGGTATCTTGCTCTTCACTTACTATAGCCCATATGTGTTTATTCCTAATGGACACTTCATGTGGAAGAGTAGTTCTTGTTTGTAGTAAGCTTTAGAAATGGAACCGTCCTTAGCCACGCACAGCTCTGATGCCTAATACCATAATTGCAATGATCAATGCTTGATATGGTGAAAACAATTACTAATTATTCTGTGGTCCACAGTAAAACCAAGATCATCCAATAGGACAGGTCTTACCTTGTTACTTCATTAATACCATGATCATTACATTTACTGATCATGGATTTTCAGAAGAGTGGCTAGAGGTTGCCTTCATTCCTGCTTATAATGTAGCAGTATCACATTCCTGTGTGTAACCAATTAAGCCCAACTCTGTTGCTTCCCCAGTGAACCACTGTGGATCCTATTTTCCCACGCTGAAGGCAGTCAGGTAGGGCCAGGGGATGATGGCTGGGCAGCTGCTGTAGAAGAAAACTCAGCCCCAACCTCTCGTCATTGCCCACTGAATTAGATGCAGCATCAAGGATACCCAAGCTGAGACTATCTGGAAAACCCCTATCAAAAATCAGGAGTATTAGGCCGGGTGCGGTGGCTCACGCCTGTAATCCTAGCACTCTGGGAGGCCGAGGTGGGCGGATTGTTTGAGCTCAGGAGTTCGAAACCAGCCTGAGCAAGAGCGAGACCCCGTCTCTACTAAAAATAGAAAGAAATTAATCGGAAAACTAAAAATATATAGAAAAAATTAGCTGGGCATGGTGGCACATGCCTGTAGTCCCAGCTACTCAGGAGGCTGAGGCAGGAGGATCGCTTTGAGCCCAGGAATTTGAGGTTGCTGTGAGCTAGGATGACGCCACGGCACTCTAACCTGGGCAACACAGTGAGCCTCTGTCTCAAAAAAAGAAAAAAAAAATCAGGAGTATTTTATTTACATTTTTATGAGATACATGTTAGTCTTCTCTATATGTCCCAACTATGGCTAGGCACTGTAGGAATAAAAACCATGAGCACAAGACTCCCTATTCTCAAAGGGGCTTACATGCAAATAGGGGAGGCAGACAAACAACACAGCAGGGAAAGTGAGACGGCAACATGGAGTGAACAGGAATCTGAATACTGTGGTTGGATAACTTTTAAAGTCATGTCCCAAAAACATGTTGCTATTAGATGTAGGATGAAGGGAGCAGAAATATAAAACCTTTTTCCCATGGTGAAAGTTCTCATACAGTTCTGTGAGTTTTTTTGTTCTTAACATATTTAAAGTTGCCTGATTAGAGTAACTACCTCCTCTGTCGCTGCTCTAGCAGTCATGGTCACGACGGGTCTTCCTTTTGTGCACTTCTGGCTGTTTTCCCCCAAACCTCCAGCCCTACTTTCACTCTCCACTCCCTCCCGTCCTGATACTAAATATGGGTGCCTTAGTCTACAGTTTTCAACCATAGCAACACTCCAATTTAATCCAGTAGCAATCAAATTAGAGCTGGTGGGGCTCCAAATTTCACTGGATATGAAATAGAGTTTAGAGGTGGCTTGGATAAGGCCTGCTTCTCTGGGGGAATCTTGATTTTACTGGAGTAAGAGGAAGTACCTGGAATAGAGGAAGGTTTTAAGAATAGGAAAAATGAGTAAGAGACAATCACAGCAATTAAAGGAACTAAAGCCCAACATTGTGCCATGGGCATATAGCCTGGTGGTACATGGCTGGTTCATGACTGGTGCACGACTTAGCACTGTAAGTCGCTTCAGGAGAAGGCGTGAACCTGAAGAAGAAGGAGCCAGGATTTCCTTCTGAGCACCCGAGATGTCACTTGGAGAAGAAATAGAATAGACTGCACGGACAGCCACCACGGAAGATGTGGTGTGCTTATAATTCTCTTTTTCATGTTGCTAGTCCTTGGGACTTCTCAGAATCATTATGTGAAAGAATACGTAGAAATAGCAGCAATGACAAAAACACCATCTGTGTCCTTCAGCTGCTTTGGGCTGTGACTGTTATATTGGTCTATATTTAAATTCTCACACTGATTTTTGCTTAGAATAGAGGAACTGCAGTGGAATTAAAATTAAGCTTTGGCACCACTTTTCATTTGTAAACTTTAACTCCACCATTATACTTCAAGGTAATGCTGCCACAGGAATATTGAAAGTGTTTCTCAGGGCTTGTAATCAATGTATAAAATATTTAGATTGAATTAAGAAATACGTTTGCATATGATCTCTGCCTGCAAGCATTTAAAGATACCATAAATTAAATCACAGGTTAGTTTACTGCTAATCCTCAGCCTAATAGATTCTGTCTTTATTTTGTAGTACACAGAGATTGGAAGATATAGTACAGATTTTACTGCTCAGTGGCAAAATCTTTGGGATTATTTTGCAGCAAAACACGTATTTACTCTCCAGGATGTGGCTGTGGATGGCTAGTTTATTTCATGACGTCCTCTGGGGTTCAGTAGGTGCCTTCCTTCCTACTTGTAATGTACGGGTAGCACAGGTGCCCTTATTTTAGATATTTACAAATATTGCCTGAAAACTCTTGTGCTTGGATTTGGTTTTTAAAGTTGAAATTCTTGATAATTAGCACTTGCACTCCAGTTAAAAAAATAAGCAATATATAAACAGAAAGTCACTTTCATGTGAAATGTGGAAGAATTCAGTATCACTCATATAATTCTTTAGAGACAGGAAGCCAGATCATTCAATGCAATACCACCTTTTCTGGACATTTCGGCAGACACTGGGTCCCTGGTTACAAGGGCATAAATACCTCATTCTCTGTTTTATTAATGGTGTTTGGGGATAGTTTGGTAACAGGGAATTGAGCTTGACATGGCGACTTAGGTTTCCCAGAACACTTTAATCTTCATAGCTCTATTTTTTTTTCCCCAAAACCGAAATGCCTGTGTGAAATATCAAACTGTTTTCTTGGGAAGATGAATCTTCCGGTTTTTGAGAAACACACATAGTTTTCTGACTCAGAATCTGACTTTTTTTTTTTTTTTCGGTAGTTGTTTTTCTCTAAAGAGGTGCTTCATTTCTCTATTTCTGCAGGAAGGATGAACAAACCTTTATAAAATTACTTGAAATTTTAGTGATGATGTTAATTTTTAAGTGGTTAAACATTTATTCTATAAATATGTTACCTTCAAATGCCAGAATCAAATCTCTGTATTTCAGTGTCATATAGTGTAATATAAGGAAGCATTTACTTTATTATATTTAATGAGGATCTGATTTTTATGTTACTAAAATAAGCAAAGTGTCAAACTCTGATGAATAACAAGAAAGAGACATTATCAAGCTTTTAATGAAGACTTTTTTTCCTTTTCTGCAAATCCATAGTGCCTACATTATATAATATGGATTACAATTACAATTTTACAGCCAAAAAGTAGCACAGCATCAAAAATAATACAGAGTGTGCATTTTTCTTTTTAAAAATCATAAACTTAAATTTACGCAATGGATAATCTCAACTCATGCCCTACACAGAAGAGAAAGCTGTTGCTGAAGTACACTGTTCACGGTGGATGAGAATGAGAAAGTCTCATATGCATGTTTTTAGTATCTCCTCCGTCCCCATTTAATATCTGCTAGACAAGTCACAGACGCCTCCTAGGGGATAGCAACAGATGATCTCTTTGAAGGTTTTCCTCAGTTCTTGACTCCGAAGTGCATAGATCAGAGGATCGATGACTGAATTACACATGATCAGTATGAGATACAAGTTAAAGTGAGACATGAAGCACACACAGTATGGGTTCTGGGGACAAGAGATGTAGAATATCAGGTGGAGGAAGAAAGGGGCCCAGCAGACAACAAAGACGCCAATCAGTATGGTCAAGGTAATCGCCCCCTTCATATTGGCACCTTGGCGGATGGTGCCAGTACCTGGGAGGACAGCAATCCTCTTAATGTGAAGTCTGGCCATCAGGAACATGTGGACATAGAGAGAAGCCATGAGAGCCAGCATGGTGAAGAACATGGTGATGAGGCAGATGATAACAGCACTGCTATCTGAGTAAATGATGAACAAAATGCCCGAAACTGTGCAAGCTGCCCAGATACAACTTATGATGATCCCGACCCGCTTAACCGTCATAATGTTATGGTACTGGAGAGCATAAAAGATAGTAAAATACCTGTCCACTGCAATTGAAAGCAGGCTGCAAATTGATGCAAGCAAGGAGCTGCAGATCACTGAGTCAATGACATTATCAATATTCACTGTGAAACTCTGCGCGTCTGTATCTGTACTGTTTAATAGGGTGATGACAATAGTTTCTGATCCATTTGAAACGCTCACCAGCATATCAGCCACAGCCAGGCTACAGATGAAAAAGTACATGGGTGAATGCAGATTCTTGTTCTTGGCTATTGCCACAATCACTAGAATATTTTCCAGCAAACTAATGACACCCAGAGTCACAAACACCTCAGGAGAGACAAAAAGTTGCTCGTAGCACCCTCCATCAGAGTAGCCTTTTCCAAGGGACTCACTGGCATTGCTGTGCAGTCCGTAGCTGCTGCGGTTCCAGAAGTGGAGAGAAGTGTGCATCCCGTGGTGGTGGGTGGAGTTCATCATGCTGCCAAGGGGATTCATGTACCCCCTGACTTGATTTAATCTCCTGGGTCGGGGAGCCTCAGTTATTTTCTCCAAGTCTTTATCTCTCCGAAAATTCCAAGGCTAAAACTGGCATCCCTGCTGTGAACAACCGTCACAAGCTCCAGAGCGTGCAGTGGAGTTTTTAGTCTCTTTTAGGTATGGTTCTGATCACCATCATCTTACAATCGTAGGCTTCAAAATGTTCATTCTCAGTTGAAAGATTCTACTGTTTGCTTTTTTGTTCTCCCTCCCACTTGAACTTTAGTCTTATGCATCCAACCAAGTCTTTTCAAAATAATTTCCCCAGTAGCTGCTGTGCCATTGGGAGACGGATCTGTGTGCACATGCTCACATAGGCTGCCTCGCAGAAGCGTCTGTTGCACTGCTTTGAATGTTAGGAGCTGTGGGCTCCGGCGGCTGCTTTTTATGGGGTGGAAGAAAAAAAATTTCAGAATGGCTCCTCCTCTACTTCCTTCTGACCAATCCAAGTGCAGTGGGAGTGTGTGAGACACTGATTATATTTCAGAGACACAAATCACAGGACAACACTGCTTCGGATGTAGAAGCCTGTGGAATCGGGAAGCAAGCAGGATGCAAAAAGACTAAAATTCCCTTTTCAAGTTGTTAAGCAAAACAACTTGATCCCTAGACAACATTCTGTGATGTTACAACAAACTATCGTGAGGCAGCCAGGTTTATTCCCACTTAAAAAAAGAGACCTGGAGTGTGTGTGTGTGTGTGTGCAAGTCTGTGTATGTTAAATGAAATGGAAAATACGCTGGTGTTCCTGAAGTAGATACACCGCCTTTTGGCCAGGATACTGAATTTATTTACCCTCTTAATTTTTTTGAATTAAAAACCTGGGGAGTAATGCTTCAATTTAAAAATACCTGAAACACAGGGAAGATATATATGATAATACAGGTAGACATGCTATGGCTGGAAGAACTACATAGGTAGCTACAATTTATCAAGGGGTTCAAGAAAATGTTCATTTTTTATCCACTAATATCTGATATTTATCCATTGTAGAGTTTCTGTTAACAGAGCGGGGAAAATTTTCTTTTTATTTATAATATTTAAACCCACAAAGCACATTAATGTAACTCTGAACTCAGGGGAAAAAAATCAATAATTAGGCAGCATTCTGGTTTTCTTTTTTTATGGCAACATTTTTTTTTAACCCCCATAGTTGAAATCTTTGTAAATTAAACCTACAAACATCTTGGCAACTTTTTAAAATTAATATTATTTCAAAATATTATGGTGGTACAAATGTTTTTGGTCATATGGATAGATTTTGCTATGCTTGAGGCAGGGTTGTGAGTTTGCCCATCACCCAAATAGTGTTCATTGTACCCATTAGGTAGGTTTTTGCCCATACCCTCTTTTCTCCTCCCCCTGCTTGATTTCCACTGAGTTTTACTTCCCTCTCTGCACATGTGTGCTCATCAGTTAGTCCCAATTTAATAGTACACGTAGGGTTGGTTTTTCCATTGTTTAGATACTTCATTTAGGGTAATGGTCTACGGTTCCATCCAAATTGTCACAAAAGGCATTAATTCATCCTTCTTCATGGCTGAGTAGTATTCCATGCTATACATACACCACATTTTGTTAATTCACTCTTGAGTTGACGGACGCTTGGGTTGATTTTACATCTTTGCAATTGTGAATTGTGCTGCAATAAACATTTGAATGCAAGTATCTTTTTGATAAAATGCCTTTTTTTTCCCTTTGGGTATAAACAGAGTGATATCTGTGATTTTCACCGTAGATTAGGATGTGGTTTTAGTGAAGACTGGTGAAGTTTTGCTGGGGTCAGTCTTTGGGCCCCAGTGGCAGCAGCAGTGGGCTAAACATGCCTGTTCTTGGGCCCTCAACATGGCTTACACTGGCACTGGTGTTAATGGGTCCAGAAGGGCTAATTTTGGGGCCCCCACGTGGCTTGCTCAGATGCTGGTTGTGGCAGCGGGGGTGAAGATGCGTACATGCTCTTGGTCCCCTTGCAGCTGGTGTGATGTGGACAATGGTAGTAACAGTGATGAAACAACCAACTGGAACCCTAGTGGTTTGTGATTGTGTTGGCAATGGCTACAATTGGTTGGGCAGGGCAATTCCCTGGTCTGCTTTTGTTGCGTGCAAATGAGTGCCAGCTGTGGAGGTATTGGCAGGCTGGGTCACCCTGACCTCAGATTCCGTCAGGAGTGATCAGGTACCCGTGGTAGCGCACTGGGCTAGGCGATTTCCAGACCCCTGAATAGCATGCTTGAATAATGGGCGAATGGGACCTGGTCAATAGACTTGTCCTCAGGCCCCCTGGTAGTGTGTTCAGGCACTGGTTGTGATAGACAGAGACAGGCGGTCCCCAGCTGTTGGCAGAATGTTCAGGTGTGGTGATTGGTAGCTGCACTTCAGACCTGCCCCTAGACAGGGCAGGGACTTTCTCAGCTCTAACAGCATGGGCAGGTATCTGTGGGGTGTGCAGTTTGCTTGTGCCTTGGTCCCATAGCAACCCGCAGCAGCGGCAGTGAGATTTGTCCTCAGGGTGTGTGGTTGTGTCTAGTCTTCCCTCTTTTTTCTTGGTCTGGTGGTGGCAGTGGCAGCAGCAGTGCAGCCCTAGGACAGGACACAGACTGTGGAGGCTAGGCTCGCAGAATTGCAGCAGCTGCTGTAGTTGCTCTGGGCTTGGGTGTCTGTGGGACTCCGTGTGAGTTCCCACTCTGAAACAATGCCTTTGTGCAACCTGCAGCTTCCTATGCTACTGTTGAGGCCCACATGGGTTGAGGGGTTCTACCATAGCTAAGACTGTAAAAGACTGTGGTAGGAATGTGGAGACCTGGGGGGTTCTTTCTAACCTTTCCCCACATCTAGGAGCTCCTCTTGGCTTCCAGTTGATCCCAGCCAAGCAAGCTGCTTTGCTTCCCTCTCCTTCCTTGCTTTCAGTGCTTCATATCACTTTTCTGCTGAATTCCAGTGTTCTCTCTTCAATGATCAATTGGAAGTGTGAATATCTACTTACAATTTTGTTTCCTCTCAGTGGAGGAGGCGCCTACGAGCCGCATCTGGTCAGCCATCTTGGAGTTCATCTGTTTTTTGTTTGTTTATCCACAGAGTTGTGTAGCCATCATTACTTTCTATTTCCAGAACATTTTCGTTACCACATTAGCAGTCACTCTCCATTTATCCTTCCCTCATCCCCTGGCAACCACTAATCTACTATCTGTCTTTATAAATTTGCCTATTTTGGATATTTCATTAAAAAGGAATAATGCAATATGTTTCCTTTTGTGGCTCCCTGCTTTCATGTAGCATAATGTTTGCAAAGTTCACCCATGCTGTAGCATGAATCAGAATTTGAATTCTTATAATGGCTAAATAATATTCCATTATACGGACATATCATGTTTTAAAATTCATTCATCATTAATTTGAGTTGTTTCCGGTTTTAGCTATTATAAATTATGTTTCTATGAACATTCATGTACAAATTTTTATGTGGACATGATTTCAGTTCTCGTGGCTGCATAATCAAGAATGGAATTTCTAGGTCATATGATAACTGTTTTTTTTTTTTTTTTTGAGGAACTACCAAAGTATTGTCCACAATGGCTGTACCATTTCCTCCAGCAGTGTATAAGAGTTCAAATATCTTCATAACCCTGTCAACATTTGCTATTGTCATCTTCTTTATTCTTCTTTATTTTAGCCATCCTAAGGGTGTGAAGTGGTATCTCATTGTACTTTTGAGTTTTATTTTCTTAACACCCAATGATGTTGAGCATTGTTTTATGTGCTTATTGGCCACTTGTTTAATAATCTTTGAAGAATTGTCCATTAAAATTCTTCACCCATTTTTAATTGGGTTACTTGTCTTTTTATTGTTGAGTTATAATGGTTCTTTGCATATTCTAATACTATTGAGTTTCAATTTCTTGATAGTATTCTTTGAAGCACAAGCAGTTTAATTTTGATGATGTCCAATTTATCAAATTCTTTGATTGCTTGTGCTTTGGGATCATATCTGAAAAAGCCCAATCCATGGTCATGAAAGTTTATACTTATTTATTGCTATTCTATATTTGGCGAGACATTGTTTTCATACTTTCCTTAAATTCTAGCCTCTGAACGTGTTTATAATAACTGATTTAAGGTCTTTATATTAAATCTAACATCTAGGATTCCCCAGGAATAATTTGTATTAACTATCTTTTTCTTCCCTGTAAGGGCCATACTTTGTTATTTATTTGCGTGGTTTTTATTGTTTTTATTTTTGTTATTGAAAACTGAAAATTTTAAATGATATAATGCAGCAACTCTGAGAATCAGGTTCTCTCTCTTACCCAGGGTTTGTTGTTGCTATTGTTTGTTATTATTGTTTGCTTGCTTAGTAACTTTTCTGAAACAATGCCATAAAGCCTATATTCTTTGTCTTGTGTGACCAGTGAGGTCCCTACTCTGTTAGATGAGCTGTCAGCTAATAATTGGACAGAGATTTCCTTAGATGCCTCAATGAACAAGTCTCCTACTCTTTGCTGAGGGGCTCTGTGTGCATGTTGGCACATGCCTTCAATGCTCAGCCAGGCATTTGGAAAATCTGCCTTAGCCTTATTATTATTTTAAAATTTCAGAATATTACAGGGGTACAAACGTTTTGGTTACATGAATTGCTTTTTTGAAGATTGAGTCAAAGTTATAAATGTGTCCATCACCCAGATATTGTGCACTGTCCTCATTAGGTGTAAATTCACCCATCCCCTCCTCCTCCCTTTCTCCTACTTGATTTCTATTGAATTTCACTACCATGTGTGCACATGAGTGTTGATCTATTAGTCCCAATTTAGTAGTGAGTTCATGTGTTTTTTTTTTTTTTCCCCATTTTTGTGATACTTCACTTACACGTATGGTTTCCAGTTCCATCCAGGTTGTTATAAAAGGCATTAGTTCACCAATTTTTTTATGGCTGAGTAATACTCCATGGTTTACATGTACCACATTTTATTAATCCGCTCATGTATCAATGGGCACTTGGGTTGTTTTCACATCTTTGCAGTTGTGAATTGTGCTGCTTTAAACATTTGAGTGCAACTGTCTTTTTGATAAAATGTCTTTTTTTCCCTCTGGGTAAATATCCAATAATGGGATTGCTGGATGAAATGGTAGTTCTACTTTTAGTTCTTAACCTTACTTTCTGCTGAGGTCAGCCAGAAGAGTGAGCTTAGGGCCTTCTTAAGTCTTTCTTGAGCCTAGGCACAATACTATACATATGCATGGCTTTCTTGATTCCCAAGAATGTGTCAGATCTTTTCTAAGTCCCTATGAACATCTCATTCCCTAATGTTCCTTTTTAAACTTTTGAATAGTCAGTTGTTT